TAGAACACACTCGTTGCTAAAGTATCATGCATTTATAATTTAAGCAGAAATTTGTTTTCCTTATTCCTGTTTATGGAATACTTCTCACTTAATTATTTCGTTTTCAAATTTTTGCATTTGCATACCTGGACTAGCAAATGCTGAACGGGAAAGGCGCATGCTCGTTCCAAAAAGAGACCTCGAGGTTAGACCAGAATATTGAAAAAACGGTTTATCCAATTTAGAAACATAATCTATGCTGACCTTCATTTGTATGACAAATATTAATCCCAAAACGGTGTAGAAGCACAAGTAAAATATTCCTAGTTGACCTAAATTTAACATTTTACGTTTTACTTTAATATGTTCCATGATGATGGAAGGTCATATTTCTCCATGAAGCACAACATAGCATTCGAAAAACCGGATGTAGCTAAATTAATACGTTGCATCGGCCATTATATTAATTTTCAAGATGGTATCATGAAGTTTTATTTTGTCCGAGCTATATTAAATGTTTATTAACAAGGACTCTAGTAAAGTTAATATATTTTAATATGGAACAGAAATGGCAAATATTTTATCAAGAAATTTTTAATATTAATATTAATACTTATTATTATTTTATATCATCAAATAATTTGTATAAATTATATTATTAACAATTTTTAATATCGATATCAATATTAGTATTAATATTAATATTAATTTAAAATTTTGGCATGGTCATGAAGTTTTATTTTGTCCGAGCTATATTAAATGTTTATTAACAAGGACTCTAGTAAAGTTATTATATTTTAATATGGAACAGAAATGGCAAATATTTTATCAAGAAATTTTTTATATTAATGTTAATACTTATTATTATTTAATATCATTAAATAATTTGTATAAATTATATTATTAACAATTTTTAATATCAATATCAATATTAGTATTAATATTAATATTAATTAACAATTTTGGCATGAAATAGAAATAGGAAATTTAAGGAATAGAAAATAAGCTAAATGACAATATTAATTTTTGTTATTAATTATTGTATATGTTACCCCATTCCTTTGCTGTTCTGTCGAGGAATGCTTTTCGATCTTTGTCCCAGATAAATCTCAAGAAATTTCCAAGAGGTCCCAAATCGGGTTTTGGTATTCGACTTTTATAATATTCTTCATCGTGTAATATCACCATAACGAGAATTGAGCTGTATCCTTAACAAACATGTATTTTGCTTCTTAAAGTTAGTTATATTTGATTCATCTTGACTATGCATTTATTTTTATCTAACTTCAATAAGATCAGTATTACATGAATTTATTCGAGCTCTATTTGAAAACAGTCGATATACAGTGTGTCCAATTTATCTACAAAAATATCAACATTTCGAAAGATATAGATAGTACACAAAAATATTTCGAACAAAAATTATAAAATACCAGTGTATACATATGATTCCTATATTTTTAATTACTTACTCTTGTAATTAATACAGGTTGGCTCGAAATTCGTAGTACAACCGAGCAGGGAATGATTTCTACGTAAAAAAACAAATCGGAAAGAAAGAATAAAATTTTTTCACTTGAAGCTTTATTGTCGAGAAAATTGACTTTGAATATTCACCGAGTACGCTGGTATACTTATGGTCCACCCATTTAGGCCAAAGTTAAGTGCACGCGTACTTAGTGAATATTCAAAAAATGAAAATTAAAAAATTTTATTCTTTTTTTTCGATTTGTTTTTTTACGTAGAATCACCTCTTGCTCGATTATATTACGAATTCTGGCCCACTCTGTGTATATATAGGTGTGTGTACATATCTATTGGATATTTCGTTTGACTGAAAATGGAGGAATATCTCACGAGAGATGAAAATTAACAGAAAAATATTAGTATAAAATTTATTTAGTATCGACGGAAATACTAAATGATATAAATAATTCGTCTTTAAATGTGATGATAGGAGAAATATTTGAGTGAAGTTAATTCTTTTAACACTAGATTTACGAAACCCGTCAATTTGACGGATGGGTTGCTCCAATTATACGATGGTAACAGATTTAGTTAACTTATATTAAGACTGTTAATATTGCAATTGTTTTTAAATTAAACTGATCGTTAAAAAAAGAAAAGACACGTGGTTTCCTTTACCTGTATATTTGACGTATAAATAGGTATACAGATAGCGTCCGTAAATCTAGTGTTAAATAGGACCTTGTATCTTTTATTCATAATATATTACAGTTTTATAAAGATTAACTTAAATTTTTAAAAAGAAATATGCAAAATCCATGTATAGATAGGGTTTTGAAAGCGTTTTAATAAATTTCTATTTAAAAATTGAAATATCACTTTCATAAAGTTTTCCAGAATTGTTGCAAAGCCAAATGAATATAGACATTATATATGGATACCCTACCAATTTTGTTTTAAATATTTTTCTATGCCATCCGTACTTTTTCAGGTGTTATTTATAAATAAATTATACATTTTATACAAAATATACAAAATAATTAATTATTTGAATTAAAATTTGTTGTGCAATACCTTGTAGTAATAAAATTCTTATAACAAAATTAGTAGGAAAATCTATTTAACTTTTTATTATTACTGTTCCCAAAACAAACAGTAATTGCCAGACTTTCTACCAATATAGGATTATACAATCAAAAATGAAAAAATTTCACTAGATTAGTATAATATTTTTTAATTTATTCTTTTCTGATTTGTTGCATGATTCAAAATTCCCGCCCTTCAATCGCACACTGTATTTGTAATAAATAATAAAAATGTCAAATATCATAATTAATAAATCATTAATGCTCTAGTCACACTTCCTTAGATATCGAGAGTACTACTGTTATCTCGAACACATATGTTATATCTGGAACGATATATTATCGATCACATTATGTTGTAACTGATATAAAAATGAATTGAATGATATATACAATATATACGTATTATAATATACTATGAATCTCAAATAGTATTGAAATGAAATTTTGTCATGCTATATCAATTTTTCCATCCTTTAGTATAAATGTCCTGTAGTACAGAATGTTTACATTGTAGTTGTTTTAATTACAAGTAACATTCTTTGTGCAATTTGAGAAAGACACGTTATCAGATTAGAATGAATCTGCTAACTGCATGTAAAATAATATGCTATAAAACAACTCGTGTTATCTTTGCTTTTAATTTTTCTGCTTGCATATACACATATT